AGAAAAAGGAAGGTGTTGTGTTTGAAGAAAGAATTTCAGCCTGCAGTCTGGAAGGTGACTATAAAATTTAGAATCCTGGGCAAATATGAACAGTAAATGCTGACTCATCACATGATAAGATGTATTTAATGTGTCACCACATGTTATAATTGCATAGTTCAGTGTGCTGCACAAAATGGCAATGAACAGCAACCACCTCGGGGCACCCCCACAGCATTCCCGTCAACTCCTGCACACACGTCTGTGACACCCTGCCTCGAATGATTGGTGTCTGTTATTTTCAGTGAAGAAGCCTGCACCTGTAGGGGACCCCAGAGAGTAATCAAGGAGGTTTCCACCTAGGGGGTGTGCAGCTCTCTGCACATGGCCATGCCGTCCAAGTTTGGATGTAATCATACCACCGGTCAGTCCCTCGCCCTGCTGGAGAAGTAGGGCAATGTGCATCCTGTTGGAATGACTAAGGTGACCCCTCCCTCGCCCATGGAATGCAGATGTCAGTTGGTCACTTAGTGTGATCAGATACAGCTAATGTTCATGTACGTGTCCAGGCTTTATGGCCACTCTTATGGGTTGAATTCCTAACCCCTGAAACTTGTGGCCTTATTAGAAAGGGGTCTCTGCAGATGTAAGATGAGGTCAAGAGGGCAGGCACTAATCCACCACTAATGTGGTGTTGCTGGGGCAGAGGGACATTTGGGCACAGACACACTGAGCCTGCTGGGACAACCGAGGCAGAGGCCCGAATGACTCAGATGCAAGCCAAGGAAGCCAGGGATTGCCGGCTGCTGCCGGACGCCTGGGAGAGGCAAGGAGGATCTCTTCCCTCTAGGCTGGACTTGCTAACACCTTGATGTTGGACTTCTAGCCTTTGGAACTGTGAGACAATACTTTCCTATCACTGTAAGCCACCTAGCTTGTGGTACTTTGTCACAGCAGCCCTAGGAAATGGATACAGCCACCCTGTGTAAGGGCCATTCCATGTACATGAGCTCTTTGGCTTTTTGGGGGTGGTGGGGGGGGGAGATAATTAGGTTTATTTATTTATCATCATTTTTCAATGGTGTACTGGGGATTGAACCCATGACCTCATGCATGCTAAGCCTGTGCTCTATACCCACCCCTTATGCCTTTTTTAAAAAAATATGTTCACTGTCTTTTGTACAATTCATCATGTAACTTTTTACCATTAATTACAGTAAAAATGTAAAAAATAATAATATGAATGAAAATCACCTTGAACTTAATGCCTAAATTGGAATTCTCTTGTTTGAATGTCAAAATGGATGGTGGCCCGATGCTGGGTAATGTTCTCAGAGAAGGCTCAAAGAGTTTTATGAAGTCTTCCTTAAACTAAATTTAAGAGAGAGAGAAAGAAAAAAAATTGAAGACTGAATAAGTGATTTTTACTGTGAGTACAGTGTACTAGTTGGACTGATAAATATTTCTTACCTCCAGCTCACATAAAATACTTAGTTTTGGCTCTTCTGGATTAATTACCCATTTTGCTGAAGAAAAAAAGGATAGATTTAGAAGGAAAGTTTAAAACTGTTGTGCAGTGTGTTCCATTTTCTCTAGTTTGAAGATCCTAGCCCATCTCTCTCTCTTACAGACACATGCACGCACACAGTCTAAATGCCCTGAAGCCCTACCTTCACCACCTTCTTGTACGTATTCTGAGGGAAGCTCTTTTCTAAAGGGGCTGGGCACCATCCAAGTTAAGGCTGGTTCCCTCAGGGCAGGTTGCTGTTGCTAGCAGAGGGGATGACGCCAGACATCCAGTTACCTCTTAACTTAGAAGCTAGATTTTCAGGTTCATCTTCCTTCTTCACAGAGGGCATTTCCTTCTCTGCAAAAAGAGTGTACATTTGTCATCACTCCTGACAAAGGAGGAAAGGAGCTTAATATAAAAGAATATATGCCTCTGGGAAAAATAAGTGACCTTATTGTGTTTGTTTTATTTTTTAATTTTTTTTGTTGCCCCAAATAGCATTTTATCAACAGTAAGTAACAAACAGAGGAGACTCACCACTAATGTAGCCCATTAAGAGATGTTTCCTTGCTGCTTTCTAGCCTTAGGATACTACACGAATGCGTATTTTACTTGATTATAATCATGGTTTGCAGACCTTCTAGTTTTCTGCCTTTTAGAAGTACTATTCTATCTAGTTTATGACTATTACTCTGTAAAATATTTTTCAGGGAGAAGAATGCTGGAGCAGGGGTTGGCAGGGTCCAGTTTAAGACAGTGAACTAAACCATCTGGGTAATTCCCTCTGCAGATTCCAGGGCAATACTGGAAATGGGGAAGACAGTCATCAACACACAAGCCACTTTGAGTAAATGTCCATCTAGAAGGTTAGACGCACAGGACTGGAATGATGCAAATCCAATCAGAACCACCTACAGCAGGCCAGGGGTAAGGGAAGGGGCAGACCCGCAGAGCCAGGGCTGGCGCTGGAGAAAGAAATGGGCTTCAGAAGATGACACACTTCCTATGTGAAGCAGCATCTGAAGAAATTTAAAATCATTTTAGGGATTTTGTCAGACAGAGATGCCAGCACAGGTATAAAAAATAAAGAATGAACAATGATTTTCATGAAGGCATCGTTCGTTATAGGGAAGAGGTCAAGACACCAAACCAAACCAAACAGCCCTGAAACATCTAACAATCAGATGTATTTCATACGTCACTGTAACTGTATGTATATAAGGGGATACTGTGCAGTCATTTCAAAGAATTAGATCAATCTTTGCTGACGTGGATACTCTGCTAAGTAAAAAATTCGAAGAAGAGATAAAACTGCTGTTATTCACAGGAAATGTAGTTATCTAGTAGACTTTCAACTGATAAACTATTAGAATAGGAAAGTTCAGTAATGGGGGTCAGAGACAAGATTAATACACTGAAATTAACAGTATTCCTATACACTAACAATAACCAAGTAGGAAATACAGGAAAAAAGATTCCAGTTGTTACATCAATAAAAAACTATAAAATACCTATGAATAAACTAATGAGAGTTGCATATGAGTCCTATATGAAAAAAGCACATAAAAGATAATCTGAAAAATGTGAAAAGGTACACCAGGTTCCTGCTGTCAAAGTAATCAAACGGGGAGGCCCTTAGATGAGGTGGCCCTAATGCCTCGGTAGCCAAATTGGAAGCAAGGCAGAACCAAAGCCAGAGTCAGTTCCTCAAGGTTGAGGACAGCCAATCACAAACAGCCAACTGGGCTTTCCCCAAGCAATACATCCTTGAGCAATAGCCAATCAAATGCTTTCCCTACTTTGCCCCCTTGTCTTCTCTATGAAAACCTCTCCTTAGCTCTTGTCTGTGGAGTGCTCCTAACCACTTCTGGTTTGTTGCTGCCCAGCTCCAATCCATGTCTGCTCGAATGAACACTTAAACATTTGAAAATGTCTCATTCCACCTTTTAACGCTGCAAAGCAAGACCAAAGCCTCAACTTGTCAAATCCCACTGAAAAACTGTGTCACAATTATACTGACTATATAGGTTCATTTGGGAATAATTAAAATCTTCTTAATATTATGTTTAATATTATGGTAATATTTAATATTAATTGTACATCTTATGTTTAATTTTTATGTTAGATCACTTCACTCCTCTGTGGGAATGCTCCAGTGACTTCCCATTTCATTTCCATTGAATAGGATTTGGCCCTCATTGTCTCTCTGACCTTATCCCCTAGGAGTCACCTCCTTATTTACTCCACTGCAGCCACACTGGCTGCCACCTTGTTCTAGAAGGAAGCACTTGCTCTTCCCTGTGCCTGGAACACTCTTCCACCAGAGATGATCATGGCTCTCTCGCCTCCTTGAGGTCTTTACTCAAGTATTTCAGCTTCTCAGTGAGGATTTCCCTGAGTGTCCCATGTAAGCTTGTACCCATCTGCCCAGCATTTTCCATCCCTCTCCCTGTTTTATTTTCCCCCTTAGCACTTACATCATCTAATGTTTTATATATTTACTTCTTTGTGTGTTATTTATCTCACTGTCACTTCCACCTCCCACACTTTTTATGGAAGATCACTGAAATGGGGGTTTGTCTGCTTTGTTCATTGCCGTTTCCCTAGAACAGGAAGCTGACCTATGACAGGTGCTTGGCATGTGGTGTGTGCTCAGGAAACATCTGATGAATAAGTGACATAACATAAAACAAATATTAAAGGTGAAAGGAAGGGCTATTCATAATGATTACCTCTGAGGAATATATTGGGATCAGTTAAGATTTTAATGTTTACGTTATATTTTTCTTTTAAAATAATTTTTATTTTATTTTTTAAAGGAATGTTTTTTCTCTTTTGGAGGGGGCAGGTAATTAGTTTTAGTTATTCATTTACTTTTTTTTAATGGGTGTCCTGGGGATTGAACCCAGAACCTCATGCATGCTAAGCATGAACTCTACCACTGAGCTATACCCACCCCCGATGGCAGATTACTTCTTGATGTGAACACAAATGCTACCATTTATTAAAGTCTCAGTGCCAAGGAATTTAAATATTAAGTCTTATTTTGATCTTTGTAACAGCCCTGTGACAGAAGGATTATTATGGCAACAGATGAAGAAACAGAGGCAATGAGGTTAAGTGACTTGTCCAATGGTCACAGTGTTAGTTTGTGTCGGGACTGGGACTCAAACCTAGCTCTGATGGCTGCCTACACCAGGGCTCTTTCCAATGTGCAATCCCATCTCCCAAACCAAACTACTCACGCAGCTGCTCTGTGCTATACAATTCTTGAAGCCAACTTTCTTCTGTTTGTACTGACATTGGGTTTTTTAGATACAAACTGTGACGGGTAGTCCTGAAATTTAGAGAAGATGTTAGTTTTTGGTATACCTATATAGTTGTTAGCGGTTCTTCTAATTATAGTACATTTGACAATCAAATGACAGATGTTCATAGAAGATCCTGATTTCTTTTTTCTTTAAAATATTTTCTTCCATTCTTACGTCTTCAGTAAAATCAGGCACAATGTGTTTGTGTCACATCTGTTCTTTGCATAATACTCCTTTTTTAAATCTTGGAGACTCCAAATACCATTATTATTTCCCTCAGGGAGTAAATTACTACCCCTCTGTGTATGTGTGTTGGTGGTGGTGGTGATGATGGTATGTATGTTTAAACAGTTACTTGAATTTAAATTAGAACATATTGTTCACTTAAAAATAGCTTTATAATAATCCAAGCTTTTTTTTAAAGGGCTGAAGTTAAATGCATTGTAATTAAGCAACCTGTATTTTTTCTGCAAGTAGTTTAATCAGTTATTTGAGTTACTGTGGACATGACAAGAAGCAGGAATGTATTGACTTTTACTAGCTAAAATGACTATTACTGGTAACAAGTGAATAACTAATGCTTTTCAAGTGCCTTTGCCTCTTTGAATTTTAATTTTTTTGCCACAATTTGCTGGCTCTTCTAAAATGATCAAACACAAATTTTCCAAATAATGGAGTCACCTTGAGGATTGTTACTTTTTCACCTTTCTCAGTTCTCTTATGTCTCTACCTTACGTTTTTGATGCTTTGTTCCCTGGCACATTGTGTGTTTTGTAGGGTGTTTTAATTCTGAAATGGCTGTGTCCTGTAATGGGTGGAGAACTCCTCTGCATAAGCCACTTGAGCAAGGGTTGGGGGGAGTCCTGTTTCTCTGACCTCCCAGGGCAACAAGTTATGGGACCAAGAGTAAAGGAACACTGAAGATCAGTCCCTAGACAACATTTTACGTTTGAGTCTTTTCCCAATTCAATGGGTAACAAAATCAATACATTACTCATCTAGGTCTCTTTGCCTTCCTTAAACCAACACCATAGATTGTTTCTGAAATTCTACGTAAAAACAGCAGATAACTGAGGATAAGAACAAAATTAACATTTACGGAGAACTTACTGTGTAGTAGTAGATACAATAGTAGATACATGTGCTTTACCCACATTATTTCATTTATCTTTACAAAGATGAATCGAGGTGGGAATTAGTATTTCCTTCCCACAGACAAGGAAACTGGGGCTCTAGGGACCTCTTTCAAAATCAGGCATGGCTGATGCAGAAGGGCCCAGGCCTGTTTGATTCCAAAACCTGTGTTTTCTTTGCATTCATCTGCCTCCTAAAGTTTGCCCCATTTTTAATCAAAACAGTAATGGGGCAGTTAAAGGTAGAGGTTGAGCCAACATTGGTTGCATTTTTATGACTTTTTAGGAGAGATTTTCTTAAAAATAGAATCTCACCAAATTCACCAGTGAATGGTTTGAAATATAAAAGAAGTATCTTAGGAATATTTATGAGGAGAAATTAAGAATTTGATCTAGGAAAGAGAAGTTCCCATGTAATAGGAAGTCCAGGTCAAGATGGCACCTGAGCACATAATTCTCCCCTTCCTTTCCAAGATCTTACTAAGAAACACTTAAACATGCACAAACAGTAGCCCTGGAAAACAAGAAAGGGCTCATCAGTAGACAAGTAATATTGAAGACGGCCTTAAAAGGAAGAAAATAAGTGGCCTCAGGCTGATGGAAAACGAGAGCAGAGACCACCAGAGCTCAAATAAGAGAGATAATAAGTGAAGTTCTCCCCAAGGGAACTTCGGAGGAGCTCCTAGCCTAGACAAGACCAAATGCAGAGAGAAGGAGGCCGCAGACTGTCATCAGAGTAGTTCAAGGAGTGAACATGGAACAGCTGGCATTGGCAGCAGTTGTTTTTATTTCCAGATGAAACCCACAGAACTATTTTCTAAAAAGAGTGGGCAGCCTTTCTGGGGAGGTTTTAGGTCTGAAAGAGCAGCAGATGAGGGGCTCAGAACCGGCCCAACAGGCTTGAGTGAGAAAGGAGAAAGGGGCAGTCCACCAGGAAAGAAATGCATAAGGAACTCCAACCGCACAGTATAGCGTCCGCAGGCTGACTCTAGCAGTAGCGCGGGTTTTCTGCTTGCGGTGCCTCTGCCAACGCCCCCGCCCCGGAAGCCGCCGTGACGCGCCCCGCACACTCCCCCACGCAGGACTCACGGACCACCCTCCCCTGCCAGCCCTTTAGGAAACGGAACTGCTTAGCTGCAGAGGGTCCCCGTGTTAGCTACCTACCAGTCATTTATCGATAAATACAAATGGATGACCAAGGATTACCAGTGACTTAAAGACAATCAGTAGCACGGAGAAGGGGCAAGATAAACAGAACAACTGGTCCTGAAAGAAAAAAGAAGAAATTCAAAGAACAAAGGAGAACTTAAGTATAGGAGTACCCTCTAAAAAATTTAAACAGTAAAAGAGTACCCCAAAAGAGATTTTAAAACACGTACACACGCAACTATTTTGAACAGCAATAATCAGAGAATAAGAACAGGTTCTTGGAAATTCCAAGTATGAACCCCCAAATTAAAAATTCTGTACAAAGCCTGCAGAGTAGCATGTAAACACCAAAAATCTTGAAGATATACAGGCGGTCCAACAGCTATCCAGTAGGCGTTCCGAAGAAAAGAATAGAGACAATGAAAGGGAGGAAATAGTGAAGTATCAGAAGGGTTTGAGAAGCAGACTGATCAGTCGTACTGGATACTAGAAGGCAACGAAGCAGTCTTCAGAGTTCTGCCGGAAAATGGTTTTAAACCTATTCCTTTATGCCAGGTTATATTATTAATAAAATCTGACGGCAAAAGGAAGAAATGTCAAGACAGGTAAGAACTCAGAAATTGAATACCCATGAGATTGATATGAAATAATAACCTGAGGAGTTTCAAAAGCAAAAAGAAAAGGAATAAAAGAAAGAAAGAAATATGGAAATCAAGAAAGCATGGCCAAACTGAGAGTTGAAAAGTTCTTTTAGGAACCAAATTTTACAGACATAGAATTTCATTTTCTTGTGTTTGAATGTAGTCACTTTGGTTCTTAGCATAAAATTATGAGTATTGGTTATTGGCTTTCAATTTTTAGATTCAATCTGTACACAAAGCACTAAGCTAATTATAATTACAAAACATACCAACATAATAAAACTGGGCAAAGTAATATGTCTTTACATGAATATATATTATACATTTTAATGAAGTTTGTTATACAATTTGTTGTTAATTGGGAGAGAAAAGGGGAGAGGAGAGAGAAAAGGAAGTAAATAGAAAGGCATTAAGGTGTTAATTTTTCAAAACAGAGTTAACAGTCACAAAAATTCATGAATCAAGAAGTAGAGGTTTAAATACTTTAAAGTCCTAAGGTTAGAAAAACTAAAAATAATCTACCTACCAAAACTGAAGAGGAGGGAAGTAGAATCAGTTACATTGATTAGCTTTCATGATGGGAAGTCAACAGTTACGTCAAAATAAATCAAGGAATGACAATATGCTATTTACATTATACTAGAAACAAAATAGTTAATGGTGTGTTAACTGGAGTGAGTGGGAGTAGGGAGTGGAAAAGGGAAAGGAGATTTTAAATTTTATACCTTTGTATTCTTTAATGTTTTAACCATCTATATAATCTTTTATTAAAATGTTGAATTAAAAGGATAAATAAAAACACATGAGTGGGACAGAACAATTCTCCTTCTGCCTAAAAATTGCTTATAAAAGCAAAACTTAGGTGAATAATAACATGACATTGTGGGCTCATATTTGGCGTGAGATTTCAGGGAAGATTTATAAAGATGTTCCAAAAGGTGTTTCTCTCGTGTCTTCCTATTATGGTGAAAAGTGCTTGAAGGCTAATAGCAGTAAGAACAAGAAAAGATCGTACTGTCCATTCTCCTCCACAGGTGTGCCTAATCACTCTTGAATTTAGCCAATAGAGACTTAACATCCTAAGGTTCATAGCACTTACATAGCATAGCGTTATGATATGTTATACTAATCAGTAGACATGTCATCTCTCCAGGTAGGAATTAAGCCAGAGATGGGCAGGGACTCTATCTCCTCCAAAATGTATACCAGTGTAGATTTAAAAACAAACAAACAAAACAAAACTTTTTGAATAAATTGGTTATAAATACTCTGGATGATTTTACTCTACTTCCTGACATGTTTATCAAAAAAGTAAACATCATCATTCAAAACATAATAATATAAAAATTGAAAACATTTTCTTACCTATCAAAATTCACTTCAGATATGTCTTTCCTAAATGTCTGAAATATTTTAGGAAAACCTGTTGAATGAAACATTAAACAATTTACCCATTCCCTTTAAATCAGTGGTTCTCTAAAGGACAGTTTTGCCCACCGGTAGACATTTGGCAATGTCTAAAGACATTTTTGAGTGTCACAAAGCCAGGCATGGCTAATGGCATAGTCAAAAGTAGACGCCAGGGTTGTTGCTAAACATCCTACCCTGCGGACAGTTCCTCCCCCCACCCTCAACACATGCGCTCCTACAAAGAATGATCCTGATCCAAATGTCAGTACTGGAAGAGTGACAAACCTATCAAAGTAACTGCTCTGCCTCACTTTTTAAGGAAGTGGCTGGAGTGGTTTCAGTACAGGAAATTAAGCACGAAAGTGAATTGTTTTTTACAGGACTCTTTCAGTAGCACAGTACCCTTAAGGCAATACTTCTGCTGCAGGAGTGGCACGTGGGAGGAGGCGAGGAGAATGAGAGAGGACTCGATCACTGTATTAATGTAAACGTAAGTGTTATAAAATGAGCCCTCTGTACAGCACTGCCTGTTTCCAGTTTTATGAGGCGTTTCACCTTTATCCTAAATTGTGAACCATCATAAACACTCAGCAAAAGATTTCAGTGTCTTTGACAGAAGGGACTGAGATAGGAGCGTGTGTGAAGTGGTGCAGTGGAAACAGGCACCCAGGTGTACGGGAGTAATTGGACCAGCCCTCCCCCAGGGACAGGGACGCCTTCCAGGACGGGGCGGGGGGCGGTACTTTTCTGGGAGAAGATGGTGGAGGGCGTGCTCTCGCTGTCTGGAGGGGTCTGGCTCCACGTCAGGCTCTGCGTCGGGCTGAGTGTCGGCGGCGTCGGGCTCAGGCTGGGGCTGATGACGCTGGTTAAGCGGAGGCGAAAGGCTCTCTGGTCCTCCTCA